GCAAAGTTGGCTATAGTGGACTGGAATAAATGCAAGGTGAAAGGATACTTTCATCATTATTCATTATTCATGAATAATGATGAAAGTATCCTTTCAAATGAAAGATGGATTAGTAAAATGGGAATAAAGAGGTGAGATAAGAGGTCATTATAATAATTTGCTATGATGCTGAATTAGTGGAGGCGGTGGGAACAGAAAGGGAAAATGAGATATACAACACAAAGGAAGGTCGAAAGGATTTGAAGACTTTTCAAATGGGAGGGTGTGGAGCAGGAAGAGGGGCAGATTCTAAGAAATGAAATCCAAAAGTGGCGCTCTTTCTGGGTAACTGGTAGAAAGATGGAGCTAGTGGCACAAGAAAGAGGATTCAGGAAGGGATCTGGTTTAGAGAAGAAGTCTAGGATTTCAATTTGGAACTGACTTTGGGAGAATATTATACAGATGTCAATATGGCATTGAGGATGGAAATCATAGTTAAATACACAGATTTTGGAGCTATGGTTGATGAAGATGTCACAAGAATGAGCTGGCAGACAAAACAGTGGAAAGCAGTGGGTAGTCAGTCCAGGTGCAGAGAGGGATGAATAGGATGGAGCAGGGATAAAAAGAAAGCATCGAGCAAAGCTCTGGGCAAAAGATGATGCATTAAAGGAGAGATGAGAAAAACTTGAGAGAAGCAAGTTTGTCAGGAAGGGATAGCGGAGTGGACTTCACAGACATTCTGGAGCAACCATTCTGCAGATAATGAATGTGGAATATTTAAAGTTAGAAGGGACCTTCCCTAAGGTCGCCTCGCCCAAACCCTCATTTTAAAGTTGAGGACATGTAGGCCCCCAAAGCTACCATAGTTGTCAAAGAAGACAGAGAAAGACAAATGCACCAAAAAGGTCCTTGCCCAAGGTGACAGAGCTGGGGAAGTAGAAAAGCCAGGACTGAAAGCCAGTTATCTTCTCTTTTATTATTATATTCATTAATCTGGTTACTTATATTTCCCAATATACTTTATATACAAATTATCTGAATTTCTGAGATCCAGTATTCCTTTCATGTTATAAATTCACAATCAGAGAAACACTAAATAGCCCAATTTTCTGATTCTTAGATTGGAGCTCTCTTCCATAAAGCCTTGTGTTCTCTTTGAAACCTCTCAGCTCTTTAACATTCAAGTACTGGATGCCTGCTAGTAGCAACTCTAGTAGGGGCAGAGATGGTGACTCAGAAAGTGAAGCAGACAAAAATGGGGAGTGGGATTCCTAAAGGCTCAGAGGATAGGACGGTCAGTCACCACAGTAAACTGGCCACCTGGAGAATCAAGGCAGATCAATTCAGATCTAAGATCCGACATGGCAATGGCAAATGCACAATTGGCCCACCTAGCTGGCCTGAGCATGGGCAGGTCCCCACCCCCCAGCAGAGACATTGGACTCCTGAGTATGGCAATCTGTACCTCAGTCTTGAATGCCCAGGAGTCTGCTCCTCTGCTGGCAGAAGGAAACACATCCAAATGTTTTCCAAAGAATAATGAGCAAGACTATTTCAAGAGTCTACTTAGATACAACTTCCTTGAGCTATTTTTAAATCACATTAGGTAGAAGACAAATAATTTCCAGCTGCCTCTGCACCTATTTCTGGATCTCTTTCCAGCATATGAGCAATGGTCTAACTGGCCTGTCCTGACATAGGAAACAGGGCTCTCCCATGTGCTCAGCAGACATCTGCTCATTTTCTCATAGGTACACTGCAGCATCTTCTTAGGCAATTTAAAGTTCACTGAAAAATTCTACTTGTGTCTATTATCTTGGTGCTGCTCTGAGTGGGCATCTCTGGGAGGTTAGCGGTGCAGAGAGGTTAGGAGTAAACAGGTTTAACACAGAAGAAAAGGCAATGAATCTAGATCTAGCGGTCAAGGGTGTGGCTCTGGTGCTTATCTGAAGTCAATCTGGCAGAGAACAGAGGTGGCAACTCCAACAAAGGGAACATGGGGCCAGCACTTGGAACAAACTGGAACAAAATATGCTCAGGAAATGTTTCAAAATACAAAAGAATTATGTGAGATGAGCTCCAAGAAAAGCTTTTGAAATTTGGCTCAGTGATGAAATCCTTGCAAAAGAAATAAACGTGATAAATCTTGTACACAAGTCAGAAATGGGAATGAAATAAAATACAAGCTTATCAGCCACCTCCACTGTAAGTACAAAGTCAGAGGATATGAGTGAATCTAAAAGTGGCTGAGATAGGAATTGGTCTGAGGAAGGTTAACCATTTCCAGGAAGGGAAGTCTCATAAGACAACTACCTGCCTACTCACTGGATCCCAACCTCAGGTCAACACCCAAATAAGGGTGATGGAGCTTTTTCAAAAGGCATGCTATAAATTCAAATCCAGAGAGGGAAGAACACGAGAAAGGAACTAACATTTGCTGACTGCACATTCTGCCAGGAGCAAAGCACTGTGCCAGGAGCTTTATGTACATCATCTCATTTTATCCTTATAACAATTCTAATAAGGTGACTAATGGTCCCATTTTACAGCTAACAAAACTGATATTCTTAAAAATTAAGTAACATGCCTAAGGCCACACTGCCAATAAGTGGAAGACCTTGTATTTGACCTGAGAATGTTAAATATATGTGGACATCTGTCTTTTTTTTAAAAAAAATAAATCCTACTTATTTTAATTTCCTTTGAGATTTATTCATTTGACAAATATTTATAGAGAATCTGCTATATAAAGCTACTGTTCCAGATGTTGAAGATATAGAGACAACTATATCTTCATCTTTAAGAATTTAATTCTAGTCTTCACCTTTAAGAATTTAATTCTAGTGTACTAGTATTTCGAGGCCTCATTATTTCCAATTTGGGGTCACAGAGAAGAAATATGGGGAATCAGTGACCTAAAGAATTTTAATATTCATCCACCTCTAGGAAAACTAAATAACATAAGCCCTTAGTTATTCTGATTTACATATAATTTAAACACACACATACAACCTGAATAGGTAATAGATAATGGATAATACAAAAGCTATCATACGAGTTAATGGTAACTAGATATACAATACGCCCAGACCAAAGAATATGCAACCAGCAGAGGTTCTATTAATATCACTAGAGAATCAATGAGGAAGTAAAAAGTTATTTGAAGAAGTAGACAGTTTTATGTACTTTAGCCAACACTTTAAAGACTTTCTTAACTATTTGATGAATAAACAAATAATGAGTAAAAGAAAAATATTTGAGAGATAACATTTAAAAAATGACTTGAAGCTCCAACCATGGAGAAAAAAAATAAAAGTAGCCATGAAGAGCAAAAGAATATTCCCCAACCTACTAACCTGCCGTCAGCTCAACTCAATAGAGAATAAATTAATGATGCGGCCACTGAGAAAAAGACACAATCAAGTGAATATCTAAGCAAAATGTGGACAGGTGAGCCATGTGGCAAGGTGTCAAGAAAACAAGTGAGATTCTTGACCTATGGATTAGACCCTTTAGATAGACAGACAGGCCCCTTCCAGGAGACCCATATGAGCCAATGCATGAAGAAATCATTCTAGCCAGTGGTGGATGCCCACTCAAGTCAGATAAAATTGGTGCAATGTCAACTTGCCCTCACTGTGAAGTCCATCCAAAGGACAAAGACAAAGGGTATAGAGGGAGACAGAATTTTCTATGTCAGACTGTTTGGATCCTATGCTTAAATGTCATTGATTGACTTCCCACCCTTCATTTCCTTCTTGCCTACCTCCCATGAAAGGTGGCAGAGTAAGGAAGAGGCAGACCTACACTAGGAAGGCAACGTGTTTTAGAGACTGGAAGCCCACTTATCTTTCCAGGACAAGTGTTAGAGAACAAAACCTTACAAATGTGACAAACTGGTGAATCTAGGTGAAGGGTATTGCGTTTCACTGCACTACTCTTTCAACTTTTCTATATGTTTGATGCTTTTCTAAAAATTAAAAAAGTTTGAGCAAACAAAAAGAAAAAACAAACAGCTTCAAAAAGGTTGCAGTGAGAGAGGGATGAAAATGGTATCATTCCCCAAATCTGAGGGCAACACTCAGTGATAAACTCTGGATAACTCTAAATTTTAGATCTCAAACTGTCAACTTGTACCTACAACCTTGGAGAGTAAAACAAGAAAAAACTAAAAAGGAAGTCTTAGCAGTCGCTCTCTCACTCTTGATGTCTGTTTCCCTAGCCTGGAGCCACGTGCTGACTTGCGGAGATCCTCCTCCAAATTCCCTCCAACCCCGGGGCTGCAGACTGGTACCGGTACTAGTCCACAGCCTGTTAGGAACCGGGCCACACAACAGGAAGTGAACAGCTGGTGAGCAAGCAAAGCTTCATCTGTATTTGCAGCCGCTCCCCAGTGCTAACATCACCGCCTCAGCTCCACCTCAGATTGTGAAGCATTAGATTCTCATAGGAGCACCGGTCCCTGGTGCCAAAAAGGTTGGGGACCACTGGTCTAGGGGATTGCTTCTGACCTCTACAGTCTGGGGTTACTCTTCTTCTCCCTAATGCCAGCCTGGCCTCAGAGTGTGCCATAGATACCCTCATCTGAGGACACCAATAGTACCAAAGAATTAAACAAATGAAGTTTTTCCTATGCCTGTGGTTGGCAAAAGAACTGCCAATGTGGAAGTGGAAAAATCTGCTGCCAAGGGATGAAATTCATTCAAATGACAACCTACTCCATCGCTGGCCATTCCAGGAAAGTAGGGAGTGGAGCTTTTTAATGGGAAAGGAACTCTGTTATTCTATATACATAATTCACTTCGTGACTTAGTCCGGAAGGAAAGGTAATCTATTTGAGTTCAGCGCCTGCCTGACTAGTCCCTTGTTGACCTCCTCATTCCGTCTGTCCCCCCTCAACCCCACCCTCTGTAAAAACCAGAGGACTGAAATATCTCCACTCTGCGCTCCACAGGACTCACGGGGCACCACATACTCTCTCTGCAGGGCTGGACCTGACACCCAGAGCTGGGATTTACCAATGTCGCTTAGCAAGGTGAGGATGGCTCCTTCCCGCAGGCCGCAGCAGTTCTCGAACTGATTCAGGTACTGTTAAGAAGATAAAAAGAAGCATCAGAGTGACTGGTCACCAACCACCAACAAGTCCACAAGTGTTTTTTACCAGCTGAAGTCATCTGAGTGCTGACCCTGACTCTGGGCTTGGGGACCTGGGCAGCAGGACTGGCAGGAACTGGCCTGTGGAAGAAGCAGAACTGAGAACTCTGGGAAGCACTCACATACGTATAGCTGAGGTGTCTGAGTCGTTCTAAGATGAGAGATATTTGTTCTCACCTGTGCTGCAGTTCTGAGGGAGACAGGCCAGCTTATAAGCTCAGCCACAACTGGTCCACTGCCCCTAAGAATCCCACAGAGGGCACTTACTGAAAACCACCTTCTGACCAGTTCCCGACACTGCTTTGCCAGTGGGGTGATGATGACAGGTGGGAATATTTAATGAGCACTTACTACGTGCCTGGCACTGGGCTAATCTCTGCACAGGTGAGGTCAATAAAGCTTTACCTGCATTGTGTCATTTCACCCTCCCCACTGCCATTGAGGTAAGCAGTGTTGCAATTTCCTTCGTACATAAGAAATCTGAGACTGGAGGAGGTCAGCAACGTGCCTGCTCACATAGCCATTCTAGGGCCAAGATGGAGTATGAAGCTATGTGTATCTGAGGCTCGAGCCCAAACACTTAAGCCCTTTGCCCTCCTGGCCCTCTTAACTTATCAAGAGGCTCAATATGGCCTTGAACAAAGACACTAGAGAAAAAAACTTCCCAACTGAGGCTACAATCATGAACTAACATATATATCTGAAAATGTCCAAGAGTCTATTTCCTGAGCCAAGTGTATGGACTTCAATTTTTCAATCAGTTCTGGCTTTTATGTTTGCTCATGTGCTGGCCAGTCCTGTCTCTCCATGCTCAGGGTGTATATTTTGAACTTTGTAGAGGAGAGAAGGACAGGCCACCTAATTTGGAGAACAAAGAGGACCCGACAACTCTGGCAATAAGTACTGTCCTCCTAGCTCTCCCCTGCCCTAGTGACAGCATGGACAGAGGCCTCTTAAGGTGCAACTGCTTCCTGCCTCCCCAGATCACTCTGCGCCCATACCAAGTCAATCACACTGAAGTATGTATCTTCTCCCTTGGCTGACTGGCTCTTTGCTGCCTACAAGATCCAGTCGAAAGTCCTCTGCCCGGCTTTAGAGTCCTCTGCAATCTGGTCACAGCCCACCTACCTCTTATACTGCCCCCTAAGAACCATCTGCTCTACTACTACATGGCTTTCTCTCCTTAAATAACTGTAGTTGGTAATTAGATGATTGTCAGAGGTTAGGAAAACAGAGAGGAATATCAAAGCCTTGTCAAGTTCCCCATTTCTCATCGTTATCAGTGTCCTGACTGTGGTCATGCCAGTGACTGTGTTCACATCCTGCTGTGACACTCCCAGGATGTGCCCACCTCCCACAGTGGGAGAAAGCGACTGGGGCGGATCAATCCTCATGAAAAGTTTCTTTGTGAAAAAGAAGAGGCGGAAGGGGCCAGAAGAATAACGAGAACAGCACATGATGCTGGGTCCAGGAAATTGCAGGGTATCCCCTCTCCCTAATATTCTAGAGTGAAGAATTGAGGGAGATGCGAACTAACAGAACAGCTTTTTTCAATACAAAAATAAATCTTTCGTCCAGAGTTCTTAGTTTTCCTCACGCTATGTGGCATTATTCAATTTCACAGATAGAGAGGTGGCCTGCAGTTGGGTTCATGTGGGCTGTGGCCCAAGCTCTGCCACTGCAGCTGTGTAACTGCTCTGGGCCATGACAGCCACCCTTCACACCTTTTACCAATGTTGCAGGGTTGTTGAAAATCAAACACAGTAATGTGTAAAAGTAGGTTGTACAGTGCTGTTTTAGAGAACATCAGGGAGGTGGACACACACCACTATCCCTGAGACTAGCAAGGACTGTCATCACCCACCTTGAAGTGTACATTCTAATAAAGAGAAGTTAATGTGGTGAGAAGGAAGAAAGCAGAGTCCGAAAGATGAGTCAGTGGTGATTCTGGAACCCCAGCCCGGTTCCCTGATTACTAAGCCAGCCACCTTCCTGCTTCACTCTGTGACCTTGAAGGCATTGCCACATCTGTAGGAGAAAAAATCCCTCCTAATAAGGACAGAGGTGATGATGACATGAAAGACTGAAGTGGCCCTGACATGCTGAGGGAGGAAAAGTTTGTTTTGGAACGTATCCAGTCCTTCCCTGTACTAGACACCTAGTGATTGTTTCCTCGTCATTTTAGTAATCTCTGTACAGTACAGTGAGCCCTCCCTGGCTTTCTCATAAGAGCTTCTGATTAAGTCTCTTGATTCACACCCCACACATCACTCCACACTGGGCATGGATTTGAGAGGGAAAAGCAACCCTGCTGAAGTCACTGTGGCTCTCTGAACTTCTTGATGTTGAAAGCAATGAAAGGTCTCCCCCCTGCTCCCACCCAGACAGGCTGTGCCCCACTTCCCCGGAAGCCTCACCTTTCGGAGATCTCCTCCTTGGCAGTACTCCATGGCCAGCAGGGGCAAGTCGTTGGGAGCCAGGTTCTGCATCCCCTCGGGGACATCCCGGGCAGCCACCACATTGGGGTGGTTCAGCCTATGAAGGATGAGAAAAAATGAGGAAGGAACCCAAGCTTTGGCTCAAACCTATTTCCCTCTCTGTCCGTGTCTCAGCAACACTCGTCTTACAACAACGGCCTGGAATAGCCAAGGGGCCTCAGGAGTAAGTAGAAAGGTGGACGTCAGGAACTAGAGACTCACCTCAGTGCCTGGTCAGTTAGCATCCACCCAGTCTACTTTCAGCACCATCAACTCATGACTCTGTGAGTGCATCATGTGTAACTGAATTTTCTTTAGAGTGCCCCATATCAAGTCCTCATTGTACTTCAAAACTACTTCTAAATGCAGACAAGGTGACACCTCCCCTCTTCAAGAGGTTTATAGAGGAATCACCTGTTTGAGGTCTTCCAAGTTGATCAGGTTGCTAGTTTACTTAAATGCCTTACTAGCTGGGAAGACAGCATCCATCTAGGGACTGTCAGACCCTGTCTCCACATTGGAAGAATAAATATCAGCAATAGGTTCACAGCGATGGAGAGTCACATACTACCTTAGAATTGAAAATATAGGGGAAAAAAAGGATTTCTGCTGACAAAGGATATTTCACTGGGATGGCTATATTAAATTCTTTAATATAACAAATAAAATTGACCAAAAGCCCGTGACAAGGTCCAGTGTCAACACTAACTGCCTTTCCTCTAGATGTCATCTACCTGGACAGTCTGGCTGGTATCCTGATTGAAGGACTGAGATACACAGCAGATGGGGCTGTTGCTCCAGATCCCAGAGTTCAGCTGGTTCCCTCTAGATCTCATTTCAATGTCCCATGGCCCCTCAGCTCCTGCAGTCCCCTTTATCCTCCCCTCCAGTGGCAGCTCTGTCACATTAGCTTGGTGCACTGGGCCCTCACTTTCTCATGATCTGAATCTCCAGACACCATCGTTCTCGATTCCGGGGGCTGAGCTCCTGCCGGCACTGCTTGATAGCAATCTGCTCACCTGTCTCCTGCAAAGAGAGCATGCACAGGCAGGATCAGTAGAACCAACAACCAAACACACAGAGAATATACAGGCCAAATCTGAAATTGTCTCCCTAGGGCCCAACACATGCCATCTTAATCACCTCTGGGCTCCCGAGGCCGCATATGTATCCACTGATATCCTCAAGTCACCTGCCAGCTCATCAGGCTGGTCTCCACCATCCCCACCTCTCACCCTGCCTTTCTCTCTCCTCATTTCTATCTATCCAGAGTCTGTATCAAGGCCTTGCTCAGGTCCCACCTCCTTCTCGAAACCAGTGCTAGCCATTCCTCCCAGAGATTTCTCATTCCCCTAAACCCTGATTGCTGTCATACTAGGTTGAACCATATGACGTTGCTGATCTTGACCATTCGGACCAACACAAATGGAACTTCCATATGGTTCGACCTAACAGTTAATGCCACCCTGTCTTCATGTTTCATGTTCTCTTCTTTATGTTTCTCTCTCTGAAGCCAGTTTTGTCTCTCCAGAGAGAATATAAGCCTTAACAGTAGATGGAACACAGGCTGATTCAAATTCCAACTTAGCCATTTACTAGCTGTGTGACCTTGGGCAGACCACTTGGTCTGACTCAGTTTCTTCATCTGTAATATGGGAATCCGGGTGCCCACTTTTCAGGACTGTTATGAAGCTGAGCCCTTAGCAGTATCCAGACTCAGGCAGGTGTTCAATAACACTCCTGGGGGAAGACCCATGTCACGCAGGTACTATTGGCATTTAAAGTCCTCCGAAGCTTGGCTCCAACCTGCCTGTTCTCTCACAACACCGCTCCAGGAATCTGATACTGCAGCTAGGTTAGATCACCTGTCTCAGTCCTATGCTTTTCTAGTCTATGCTCTTGTAGGTGCACAGGCACTGCAGTCTTCCCACCGCAAGGGATGCTTACCTGTCTCTCCAAACAGGTAACTCCTGCACATCCCTACCAAAGACTTATTCTCTGTAGGGTCATAGGGTTACTTTGTTAAATTATAGGCTTGTCGATCCTCGTGAACTTTAACCTCTACTATAGTAACTAGCATAATGCACTCAATTGAGGTTTTGAGAATGGAAAAGAAGGCAACCAATAAAATTTTTGTGAATAATTAACTGACTGGGTCCTGAGGATTATTAACTCTTCCATTTTCCTTGGTGCTCGAGGAAGCACCAAGGAGCCACAGGGGATGGACTAAAAGAGGAAGGCCCTGAGGCTACAGCGTTGGCAGCCCAGGGGCAGTGGCTCTGGCCTTGGACACTCCGGCTGCCACAAAGAGAGTCACCACTATGCAGCTGCCACCTCCTCAGGCCCGTGGGGGCCTCCAGGACAGCTGAGGGACAGCAGCTGCCCTTGGTTGTGGCTTTGGTGGTGCCAGCCTGGGAACTGGTTGTGCCATCAGTGAACAAGCTGACCTACACCAGTACCCTCTGTGTTTTGTGCACCAACAGCCAGAACCTCCCCAACAGCCCCATACTCGACATATACTTGGGAAAGAGCCACAGCCTGCAGGATGGTACAGTAATCCAACAATAAGAAAAGATTTCAAAACAGTACCAAAATCCTATTGTTGCCCAATTAAAGGACATCTAGAGGCCCTGTCAGGCCGTTTCCTCATTTTATGAAAATGCATACTGAAAAGAATCATAAACCTCCTAAGTGCAGAAATTCATATGGTGAATGGGACTTAAAAAGGACATGTCAAGGATTGTGACAAGGCCCCCCAGTGTGCATGTGGCTGCCCTTATGGCCGCAGAACTGCATCACGGCCACACATTTACCAAACTAGCCAGGATCCCTGCAGGAACAAGGACCTACCCAATAAAAAAGAGGAAAGATGGAAGTCTTCAAACATAAGCAGAAGATATCTAATAAGACCACTGAATCACTGCTCAATAAACCAATCCCTAAAACTGACATTCAAGAACTACGAGCTTCAGAAATTAGGTGGAAGCATCTTCTGACAGCTTCCTTATAGTTCCAATGCCAGAAAACAGATACTTACAACACTTCTAAGATACCCTCAGAAGTTACTTCTATCAAATCCCAGTACTACTGTGGGTAAGCACTCCGTCATGCAGTTATTTCACATGCCTATGTTTTTTTTCTAACAGTTCTATTGAGAGATCATTCATATACCATACAATTCATCGATTTAAAGTATACAATTTAATGATCTGGGCTATATGCAGAGTAGTACAACCAAAACACAATCAATTTTAGAACATGTCCATCCTCCCCAAAGAAACTCCATACCCATTAGCAGTCACTCCCCATTTTCCCTCCAATTCCCCCAAACCAAGGCAACCACCAATCTACTTTCTGACTCTACAGATCTGCCTGTTCCAGATATTTTGTATAGATGAAATCATATAGTATGTGGTTTCTGTGTTGGCATCTTTCACTTAGCATGTTTCCAAGGCTTGCTCATGCTGTAGCCACATGCCGACTTTTGCGACAACAGACTCCTTAGTGTAGCCCATGGCAATAGGTGTTGATAACCAGGTTCTGCCATAAGTATCATCTACATAAGTTCACTTACTTTGCTATTAGAATCCTGATCTTTGGCCTAGATTCCAAGGCTTTCCCTGAAAATGTTTTAAAAAATCGCGAAACCTGTTGCTATTGAACCAATTAGTACAAGTGAACTTGGGTAAAAATCCATCTAATACTTTTCAAAAGTTAGGGAATATGTCAAAAGAATGTCATTTCTTCAATCAATGTACAGACTGTTACATTTCACAAAATGTTACACCCTCTACATCATGAACTTACTGATTTCTTTGTCTGTTCTCTAACTAATTTGATTTTGGTTACAAGTTTCACTTCCCATTAGTAGTCAGATTCAAACACTGCCCAGTTCTCTGGTAGCTTCATTAATAGTGGCTCTGACATGCTGTTACAGATGCTTATCTCCAGTAAAGTGGGATCTCCACAGAAACTCAGACTGTGGGATGCAGAGTTCTACAAATGAGAGAAGACTGATGGGCCAAGCTGTAAAATGAGGTAACAGTGTGGAGAGTGTCCACTTGGCATGTGATATTTTGATAGACGGTCTTATAAGCAAAAGTTTAGCAAAAGTACTCGTAGTTTATTATCTCAGAATGACTCTGAGAGTTTAAACCAAGATATTTTAAAATCTACACCTATTTTAACTTCAATACACAATAGTGTATTTGTTTTCTATTGCTGCTATAACAAACTGCCACAAACTTAGTGGCTTAAAACAATACAAACTGTTTCCTTATAGTTCTGGAGGTCAGAAATCTAGCACGGGTCTCACTGGGCTAAAATCAAGGTGTCGGCAGGGCCATGTTCCTTTCTGGAGGTTCTAGAGGAGAATGCATTTCCTTGGCCTTTCCAACTTCTAGAGGCTGCCTGCTTTGCTTGGCTCAGGGCCTCTCCTTCCATCCTCAAAGCCAGCAATAGCCAGTTGAGTTTTGTCACATTGCATCACTGACACTGACTTTCCTGCCTCGCTCTTTCACTTTTAAGGACCCTGTGATTACAAGAGGCCCACCCAGATAATCCAAGATAATCTTCCCATCTAAAGTTAACTAATTAGCAACTTTAATTTCATCTACAACCTTAATTCCCCTTTGCTATGAAACTTCGTATATTCACAGGTTCAGGGAATTAGGATGTAGACATCTTTGGGAAGGACCATTATTCTGCCTACCACAAACAGTACGCTTCCTGAAAAATGACAGATAAGTCAGACCCAAAAGGTAGATTTATTAAGTGACTTAAAAATATTTTAGGTACTCTGCCTATCTATACATTGGATAACTGTAGATAATTGTAGTCTTTTGCTCAATGCAAACATTGGACCTAACACACAACTATCACCTGGCCCAACTTAGAATCGGGGAACAGATGTTGACACTGAAAACTGATGTTAAATATGGAAGATTTTATACTGTCCTCAATATCTAAATTCAAACTAAAGAGTGAATTTAGCAATATGAACACTGAAATAACTGGGCATGGAAACCAAAACTGACTTTCTACTTGTGGACAGCTCAGCTTAGTCCTACGGTTACAGGGGAAACCCTAACTTCCTAGGTCTGGGGATGTCCCATGTAGGTATAGACACACACTATTCTTACACAGAGGTCTTCTAGGAAATATTGTAAGACATTCATTTTTACCAAAAGTAGTGTGTGATTAGAAACACAAACCCAAACAATATTTTCTATTGCTAAAGCCATGTCTGCTCTAGAAAGCAAAATTCAGTACAGAAACAGACTATGAATACTGGTTTTGAAACTCTGGGGAGTTTGTTCCTCACCAGCAGTGAAACTCAGTCAACAGTGGATGACTTTCTGTATTTGGCCCAGAACACCCTAGAGACTCAGCTAAGCTCTCTAGAAACCTAGATTTGATACAAACTATCTCAGTATCCAACTTCCAGTAAGTGGACTCATGTGGAACAAAATTTCAAATTGGTTTGTATTTTGAGAAAATGGAGAAAGGAGCCAACAGTGTTATCTATCTATATTGAATGTAGTTAATTATGAAGGTTGTTAGAGTCTCTGTTTTTGTTTTTTGTACATGAAAACATAAAGCATATATAAATGGGAGTATATTATAAAGCGTAGAAGGCAAGAGGGTGGGACTGTGAGTAAGACACATCCTCAGACTTCCGAGAGCTACCAAAAGGTGCTATTGCACAAGTGAGCTGGAAGGCCAGTCTATACAGGAGCTGGCACAGCTTCCCAAAGTTAGCCTTCTTTTAATGACTACGGAAACACAGGAAACCAAAAGGTACATTCAAACCCTTACCACATAAAGCCCAGTCTCTTGTTACCAGGGCAACCATCCAACAGGCTATTGTGATACAAGGAGCAATTAGTCATAACCTCCTCATTCCTTCTTAGGATCTGCTCTCCAAGATGAATGTTTCAGAAAGAAGGTGCAAAGCTGGACCCAAAGAGATCCTAGGGACAGAACCTAGGCCTGATAGTCAAAAGGTCCAGGGTCTGGCTGCAGCT